AATATTACATGTTAATAACTTGATTGGAATTATAACCTTGAATTGACAGTTTGATACTTTGAAAATTTTGAGCCAGCCCTACCCCCAAGGGCTGTAGGGTGGGGCTCAAAGGAGTCAGTGTGCTAAAATTTCTTCATTTTCCTTGTTAAGAATCAGAGGTGCTAGTTTCAAATCCTTTTTAGTCTGAAATCTGTATGCTAGATATTGAGTAAGGTGGTTTTATTGTTTTTTGTCACTTTGAATAATATTTCTGTTCATGTTAAAAACAAAATCAACTCTCTGTATAAATATATCAGGTGGCCGTTAAGGCCCATGGGCCTCTTGTTTATGTAGGTTCCCCTTGGTCCATAGCTGTGCAGGGCAATTGTAGAGACTGATCGGATAAACAACATGGCCGACAGGCAGCCATCTTCAATTTTGATCAGTGAAAGTTTTTCATCACTATTTCTCGTGAAGTACGGGAGGGATGTTTCTCAAATTTTAAATATATGTTCCCCTTAATCCCTTGTTGTGCATGTTATATTTTGAGACTGATCATAAAAACAAAATGGTTTAAAAGAAGAACTAAACAGATCTTTCTCATATTGCAATGATCGATTCTATTTCTTTCACGTTAAGTACTGTACTAGTAAATATGTGAAATGACAAACTCACTTTGAAGGTTGGCTTTCATACACATCAGTATTACGTTTAGATCAAAAGTTACCTCAAGGTGCATTTATACTGTTAACATGACTCGATCAAACAGATTAGAGGAAAAAAGAGAAAAGATCGAACTGACAAAGAACTAATGAAGATGGTACAAAGGTGGGCGCCAAGATCCCTCTGGGATCTCTTGTTCTTCCCCCCTATGAATTCCTGTATACATTTCCCTCAATTTACCGTCAAATCCTTTTAAAGCACCAAACGTTTCTCTGGACAGAATATGGGAGTATAATGAGGTTTTACTATACATAAGTGGTAATGTTTTGTGGGGTTGTTCTGTTTGCACCATGTCGTGTGTGTATCTCACCAGGAAAACAGTATATAAGTGATAGTGTATTGTGGGGTTGTTCTGTTTGCACCATGTCGTGTGTGTATCTCACCAGGAAAACAATTGACAATGTATTGTGGGGTCCTTCTGTTTGCACCATGTCGTGTTTGTATCCCACATGGAAAACAATTGACAATGTATTGTGGGGTCCTTCTGTTTGCACCATGTCGTGTTTGTATCCCACATGGAAAACAATTGACAATGTATTGTGGGGTCCTTCTGTTTGCACCATGTCGTGTTTGTATCCCACATGGAAAACAATTGACAATGTATTGTGGGGTCCTTCTGTTTGCACCATGTCGTGTTTGTATCCCACATGGAAAACAATTGACAATGTATTGTGGGGTCCTTCTGTTTGCACCATGTCGTGTTTGTATCCCACATGGAAAACAATTGACAATGTATTGTGGGGTCCTTCTGTTTGCACCATGTCGTGTTTGTATCCCACAAGGAAAACAATTGACAATGTATTGTGGGGTCCTTCTGTTTGCACCATGTCGTGTTTGTATCCCACAAGGAAAACAAGTGACAATGTATTGTGGGGTCCTTCTGTTTGCACCATATGCATGTTGTGTTTGTATTTCACCAGGAAAACAAGCGGTTGTGGTGATGGCCTGCGAGAACCAACACATGCCCGAGGATCTCATCATGGAGCCGGGACTTGTAATGATATTTGCTCACGGAGTGGAATGAGTGTGGATAGCTTCAAGTGTTCCCTTGGTCAGGTGAGCTACACATCATGGTGAACAACATATATGATGTGTTGTTATTGGCTGATGAAGTAGAATACAGATGAACAGCTATTTTCGTCCTAAAACTCGTAGACATGATTTTGGCTACCCTACCACTGATCACATGATAAACTGGTGTTTGCTTCCTTTTGACTATTGCAGGGCCAGAAAATTGGTTTCAAAAACATTAATCAGCGGGCTTGTAGGTTCCAAATTTGCTAGTCCTTTATAACAAGTGATATCATATTTTGACTACTCAGTCAGGATCAGGCTAGTGGGTTTTACCACTACATGTATAGTCAAGCTAGTAATTTTAGTAGACTCAGACTATTGGGCTACTATTATCGTCTACTGTCTAGCCCTCGTTGGGTCACATGATAATATACTGGTGTTTGCTACCATACAACTTTTCACTGGTCATGTGCAATGTATTTGAACCACCTAATTTTCAAACAGTATGATAAGAATTTTTTTATGGGTCAATAATGGCCTTTTCATGGTCAATGCATGCAGTAGTGAATGATTAAGAAAGCAGGGTGTTCTGCTTTGGCTAGGCCTAAATGATGGAAAGATTTTAAGATCCAAGAAGACCTTGTGCAGTGAATTGAAAAAGTAACTCAGTAAGAACTAAAGCATTATGATAAAGGGGTCGGTAAGAGTTGTGAACGTGTACAGTACTGCTATTAAATGTAGATTTGTTACTTAACTGTTTGTTTTCCATTGGTGACGTTGATTTAGTAACACAATTATTGTGTCTCCCTCAGAGTTGGGATCCACTATATATCAACTGTTTCCCTCGGCCTGTGGCCTCAGGGAAAGAGTTTATCTAGTTTGTTCCAACTCCTTGGGAAAATAGTATTGACTGTTTACTGAGAAGTCATGAAACAACCGTAAATAGTTTTGTTCTTATCAGTCAGTGTTCACGGTTTATTCCATTTGTAACACTGAGACTTTAAAAAGATGGGCATTACTTCTATGATAACGACTTATTTCATTCATCATTTGTCTCAGATTCTTATAAGGAGAACATGGACTTTGAGAGAATCAGAAATTGATCTTGATTTTTTTTCTTTCTTTCAGACCCTAACAAAAATTCCCTTGCTGCTGGTTGCATCAGTGATGTCATCAGCAAAACTGTGAAGGGTTCTTTGGAGGATTTATAGTGTCGATGAACTAGTGGATATCTCTGACAAACTCCTGGCTTAGAGCTCAACCACTTCAAGGATACAACTTATTCGTAAAAGATATTTGGATAAAGAAAGACTGACATCTACAGAAGAACAGGAGAAGATTGGATTGTTTTGAAGATAATTCTGATGAATCAGTGGATATCTCCTACTGCTATAAATAGGAGTACTACTGGTTCACTGAAGAAGACTCGCACCAATCAGAAAGTTCCAATGCTTGTTACAACAAGTCCTTCACTATCACATAAAAGATGTTTTTTAAAGCCCATGTGTCTTCCAAAATATGACACCATTCCAAGTTTCTTTCATGTGATGTGATATTTCAGTCCAATTTCAAAATTGACCATTGTAGTTCTGATGTCATTCAAATGCTTTTAACATCAACTTATTCCTTGGAGTGAGTGAAGTTCAAAATATCACCAAGCTAGTTGTGTTTCATCTCTTGAACAGCTTACCATCATAGCAACCATTCATTTTCACTTCTGAGGATAATTTTTCTAAATATGATATTTTGAGTTTCCGATATTGTTCATTGATGACTCGTATACAGAGTTCATCTTAAACATTCATGTATGTGCAGTGCACAGGTCTCTACCAACAAAAACACCCGCTGTTGTCAACAGCGAACAAGTTGGGATGATACACATGGGCAGAGGAACAAAGCGGTGCTGAATCTCACCTTAAACCTGTGTGTGTGATAAATTATATACATATATTTAATATTGTGACCAGAATAGGTTTTAATTTTTATTTAGAGACCCAAGAAAATTTCCCTTCACATTGCTTTCAATCTGTTCTGTCTTGGTATGGCTAATTGTTTGCTGATTTTAAGTAGGTGAACGTTGGTTTACTTTTGTCACTTTATGATAAATCATTATGATAAATCATTTAGCTTAATTACTTGCACTAAGAGCCGGTTTTACCACAAATGACATCCATCTTCAGTGACTTTCGGACACAAACATTTTCATTGTGGGTAATTCTCATTAACAGCAGTAGTTCAACTTGTGTTTTATTTCATGAAATAGAAACTTTATTGAACAGATTTGGGAATAACTACATAACGGCATAAATCTAGAATATTGATTGGCTGTTTATTAGAGGTGCTATTTTTAGTATAGTCTTTGAGCTTTGTTTCACAACGGTGAAGTTTTCCTTGGCAGTGGGTTCTGTTTTTTTCTACACTGATGTCATTGTCTGTGAGACGGCCTTTGTCATAATTTAATGTGGTCATCTAAAACATCTTTCTGTTTGAAGCCAATTCTGTTGGGAGAAAATGAGGTAACACAAAATATCTTTTTTCTGTTTAAATTGGGAGCTCTTTATATGTACTATAAAAACTGTTTTCAGTTTAAACTCAATGGAAACGCCTTCAGATGTACTAGATATTAAATACATGTATACCATATATATAAACTTTATTTATTTTACAACAACTATGAAACAAGTTATTTCAACTTATATTAATCACTCTTGTTGGCCTGTATGTTAGCGTGTGGGGGGGTCTTAGTGTGGGAGGAAACTGGAGTGCCCGGAGAAAACCCACGTGATCGGGCAGGTAACTCCAACCTTTTCATGTCCGATCGGGGAATCGAACCCTGGCCGCCTTGGTGAAAGGCAAGTGCGCTATCCACTGCACCACCCGACCACCCAAATACATGTTTACCATCTCATCAGCAACTGTGATAGTATATATTCCAAGGGCTGTTATAGTACTCGAGAATGATATTGAAAGTATAGTGCACCATGAAATATTTTCGCACTTTTAAATGACACTGGACAAACTTAAGGGTATATGCTACATAGTACATGTGATGTGATTTATGTGAGTTAACTCCCTTTCAAAAAAATGATTGTAATTTAGCATTGTTTACTACCTGAACATCATCAGTGCAAATCTTATTGTGGGTCATTTTAATATAGTGTCAGTCTCAATTAGGGTTATCAGTATTTTCTCATTGCAATACAATGCATGGGACTCAACTAGGAAAAGTCATTTCTTTTCATTGTTAAATCAAGACTTTATATAGAAAAATAATTCAAGCTCAAAATCCATTTGTGTAAAAAATGGTCAGTGTTTAGTTTTCTTGAAAGTCCTTTTTACCTGTACAGTCGACACTCCAAACAAAGTTCAGTCTGACTATAGATTGATCCAGTTCACATACACAGGAAACTGCTCTGTTACTTTGAATTGATATTATGGTAAGAGGTTTATAAATACAAGAAAGTTCATTGAGGCATTACATTTCAGGACGTCGCACCATATCACTACATGTGTAAATTATAACATATATTGCTTGCTTTGATTTAATATTACAATCAGAACACTGTAGTTGAAGCTTGTTTAAACAAATTGATTTTTGAAAATCATTTTTTCCCTTTTTTTTAATCATGTGATGTGGAAACTTCGACAGTTATCTTAATTTCACGGCTGAATTCACCAGTCATGTCTGAAATCATGTTATATCTTTGTTCATCCTTGCGAGATGAGGCGTGATCCTCAAAAATATTTAAAGGAAAGCAATTCATTTTTTTGTAGATGCTTAAATAAACAATGTTTGTAACACACAGGTATCTGCCATGCTAGTGTAGAAAATCAGGTGATACTTACTATATACTGTTACTACAGTACATTTCCCTTATTGTCATGTGTCGTTAACAAAAAAAAAATGAGGTGTGATATTAAGAGGAAAGCGATATTAAAAGGAATTACATCACTTAATGTTTGAGGTTTGATGTATGTAACATATTAAGAAACAAGTTTGTAATAACTGTATCTAGACCTTCTAAATATATGTCGTAATGTGAAGAAATTTCATTTTTTTTTTGGCTCTAAATCCAGGTGTTGGTACAAACTTTTCCATTTGGCAATCACAGAAAGTTATCATTGTTTTCATAAAACTTAAGCCTGTACAGGTAATATTTACATGAGACTTGAAAGACGACTTGCAGCTGGACAGGATATAAACAGCTCGGAGTTGACATCAGCTTTAATGTTAAAATACAAAATGTTCATACCTGTAGGCGGAAATGGTGATTAAAAAATTGTGATATTATCAGAAATATGACATTAAGGGACATGACATTAAGTGGGATATCACATTATTATTGAGTATTTATCAGTTACGTCTTTCACATACTTTTCTGAACACCTTTGCAGAGAGTGCTGTAGATAAGGGGAAGCAATTTAGAGCATTGTGATTTTTGCTAACCACAGGAATGAAGGTCTTTAAAAGATGTCATTACTTGTAAATGGTTATATATATAGATACATATATAAATAAATAAATGTTACTTTTAAAAAGTATTATGTGTAAATGTGTACCCACCATATGTAAATTTTCCTGTAAGTGTTTGTTATAATGCAGAGTGTAAACCACAGGTGCTGGTCGACACACGAATAGTAATATGATGTGTATGTATATACTATATAATATTAAGGTATTTTTTTCTACTTTAAATGAAGATTATTTTGAAGGTAAGGTGTTTAGGAACCAAACCAGTGGTTTTCATGAGTACATTAGGGTTTGCGTTCCGATTTGAAAGCGGTTTAGGTAGCTGTACTGCCGATTTTATTATATATATTTTTTTCAAACAGGTTTTCGGACTTGCCGTTATATACCTTTACTATTATATAGTATACACACGTCATATTACTATAAGTGGGTCCACCACCTGTGGTGTAAACATTGTTTGATGGAGTACATTCATTCAACATTTGTGATAATTATATAGAAAATATTATATGACGGTTGAATCTGAATAGATCTGTATTTTTAGAGGCGAGTGTAATTTGCTTTGGAAGAAATATTTTTCTGAATATACTGTCAATTGTTTTCTTAACCCTTAACCCTTATGCAACTTTAGTAGACTCTACCATGCATTGATTTGATATGGATGAGTCCACTATGGCCTACAGTGGTGAAAGGGTTAAAAGTTTCAAATCGTTAAATTGCCCTGTCGGCTCATCGGTAGAGACAGATTACTTGCAGGGCTCTATAAACACAGGTTGTCTGTAAAAATCTTCCTTTCAGGTTAGTAGAAATGATAAAATGTTTGTGTCTATTCTTTGGGTTCCTATAGGTGTAGTTATCCGTGCTTTCCTTCACTTTTTCAAAGCAAAAGATATAGCCTACAACATCTATATAGCGCCCTGTATAATATGCAAATACAGGGTGCTTTACGACACATGAATAATGTCGCTTGCACAGCTATGATAATGGGCAAATAATGAACACCTACTGCACACAAAGCTTTCTAAACAGGTATTAATGTCTACAAGTTATAACAGCCATCTTACTGTTAGTTTGAGGTATACCAAATACATAGGGGAGGGATGGGGTTAATGTGGGTAGGAGGGGGCAAAGAAACATGTGTACGTTTGATTGATTATAAATAGGTACATGTAGTGGGGTCTAAGTACATGTTAACATTTGTAATTCACACACACACACCCCCTAAAAAATAAAATAAAAATTGGGTCACAAAAATATCCTCATAAATGTATATTTCTGGAATGGTCTTTTCGGTGATTTTGTGACCATCAAAGCGAGAAGGGTGTTATTGTACTACATGTATCTCACCAGTATTCTGTAATGACCTAGAACACTAGGTCAAAACAGCCAAAATGTCAACTTGCGGTACGAGACTTTAAAGCTCTGTAAGCTTCTTCTATCCTTTTTTTTTTGGTTCGCTCCACCATAGTTTTACAGACTTGCTTGAAAAATGTGATTTTTACAGCTTTTAAGTTTTAAATGTTCTGCAATAATTTTCATTCTCTGAAAATAACCAAGTGCACAGGAAACATACTGCATCTTCATTTCATGTCCCTGTCGAATACCCGTAAACACATTATGTTTTGTGATAGAGTGTAACTAGCTCATTGTAACAGTGCTGGGGACACGAGTGACATCACTTGTAACCTTAAGTTATGGATGAAAGATCTGATCAATATTGGCTCAATTTGTTTCCCGAACTGGATCCTAAGTTTGTCTGAACCAGAAGCTCCTGTTTGGTTGGAATATAATGTGTTTCATTGTAACATGACAATACAATTTTTATGTAATCCTGTAATCTAGATCTGTCATTCATGGTCACAGCATAATGTAGCATCATTGTCAAGTGGCGTAGCATACATGTAGGCTTGTATGCTCAAGCATACACGGACATTTTCAATATTTTTTTAATCCTATTATATATATATTACAAATGTGATTTCTTTTTTAATGATTAATATGGACCATCTGTATCAATCAAAAGGAAAGAATGAACAAAAAAATCTTCTTGAAAATTTTAGTCTGATAAAAACATTGAAAAAAACTAGTTAGTGAAGAACAAAATTTAATATCATTCATACAAAAAGTTGTGCTTTACTTGTTAATAATCAGACTAAAAGGATTTCCCAGAACACGAGAGATTGCCTCTAGGACCAAGTAGGATTCTATTATAATTTTTTTCATGCTGTAGGAGGGGGAACTCCCCATCCCATACCCATCCCATACCCTTCACCTCCTCCGGTGCTACGCGTCTCGGACGCTCGATCCTCCGTGAGCATACACTCCAAAAAATGATTTGCTATGCCACTGTTGTTGAAATCTTGAATTGCATTGCATGTTGACACTTTCACCAGTGATTGGGGACCGAGAAATATCATTATAGTATACAATGATAGTTGGTACATGTGTACTTCACATATTCTTAATGGAGAATCGTGCCAGTGCATGTACGTATACTAAGACTAGGCTTTGATTATGTATAAATAATCCAGTTGACATTTTTCAACTTAGATTCATTTTTGTATTCATGTCTTATGTTTTCAGACCATGACATTTTTTCGTTTATTTCATATTGTAATTTTGCATCATCAGGGGATATATAATATTTTGATTTGTCTAAGATATGAGAAATGTGTGTTCAAGGTAAAGAGTACCATGAAGCTATACATGTTTTAACTGGCATTATTATAAAGTTTTTGTTTTAAGGTAATTTTCTACAGATCTTCAGATGCATTTTATGGAACTACACTTGAAGTATTTCAAAAAGAAATTTAAAAAATGAGACAAAAATAAAAGTTCTACTGGTTGCGCTCAGAGCTAACTAACATGTATGTTTATTCAGACGCATCTAAAGAAACATGTGACTATTTCAAATTGTTCGAAGCATGATTAAAGAAAGTTATTTAAACAAAAAATGAAGTTATGTACACTTTGAAGCGCTTTCTCATTTCTAAGAACTCAAATATTCGGTCAACAGCTTATTAGCAACACAACTCTTTTGATTTTCTGAGATTAATGGATTGAGTTAATCATGTTCCCTTGACCAAATTAGTTTCTGAAGTAATTTTGCACTGTCATTATTGTTAAACAGTTTTCAATATCAAGACTTGAAATAATTCATGTACATAGGTTGTACATGTATATACCATAAGTATGTGACAACCTTATTTGGTTTGCCATCAACTT